CTGCAGCGGGGAGAACCCCTGTACCAGCAGATAACTGTGTGATAACCAACCCGGGCAGTTATCTGCTGGGACAGGGATTCGATTTCTCTTGCCTTGCGCTAGTACCGGGACTGCCGCCACTGAGAAACCCCCTTGCCCCCCTGTAGCGACGCTACTGCTTAAAGGGAAACAATAAATATGAAAAATGTATTTAAATATCGTGCCTGGGGGGTCCCCTTAGACTGCCTGTAAAGTGGCAAATCTGTACAATGTATAGAACCTGCTGCAGCACAACTGACAATTATAAAGAAAAAACTACATTTAAAAAGAAAAAAGTGTGCGATCCCCCCTCCCAAACAATACCAGACCCTTTAGATCTGGCAGGAAAGTTAAGAGGCACCCCAATTAAACAAAAAAAAGGGGGAAAAAAGGGTGGAGTTCCCCCAAAAGTCATATCAGGCCCATAAGGTCTGGTAGGTATTTTAGGAGGGACCCCATGAGAAAAAAAAAAAAGTGTGTGGGGTTCCCCCTCAAAGTCATACTAGGCCCTTAAGGGCTGGAAGGAATTTTAAGGAGGAACCCCACCCCCCAAAATTGGGGGGGAAAAGACGTGGGGTCCCCCCTAAAATTTCCAACCAGACCCTTGATCTGAGCACAGGCCTGGCAGGGCCGGAAAGGGGGAGGGACGAGCGAGCGCCCCCTTCCTCCCTGCGATACCAGGCCACATGCCCTCGGCACTGGGAGGGTGCTTTTCCAGGGTCGCCCCGATGGGGACAAGGGACTCTTCCCCACAAGCCCTGGGGCATTGCTTGTGGGGGTGCGGGCGGATGGCTTATTCACATCAGGGTACCCCTTTAATAAAGGGGCACCCAGATGCACCCCCCCTTGTGAATGAGTAAGGGTTACCCGTTCACTAGAGGGTTAAATCAATTTTTTTTTAAAAGACGCCAGACTATTGAAAAAATAATTTAAGTGAAAACAAAAAACAAAAGACAAGTTTGACAAGTAGTCTTTTATTTAAAACAAAAACCCTCCAAAAATGGATCCACCAACGTGATCCAGCGTCAATCACGACATCCAGCGTTGTCCACAATGACGACTCAACTAAATAAATAATAAAACAAGAAAAAACAAATAGAAATAATAATTTAAAAACAAATTGATGCCCGCCCAACTGTGTACAGTTCTACAGCATCTGACAGGCGAGACATGATTGGGCAAAGTCCTCATGACTTTGCCCAATCATGGCTCTTATAGAGTACTGTGCCCTGATTTGACAAAGTCTTGCACCTGACCTAGGGTCAGGTGCAAGGCTTTAGCCAATCAGGGCTCTGTGGGGCCCTCGGCAGGCGAATTGCCAATGTTTGAGTCGCCCTCATGCTCGACTCAAACATCAAGCCCATCCCTACCTGGCGCGAGGGTGCATGGAGCCAACTTCCCGGTCAATCAGGAAGCTGGGTAGCAGGTCATGACACTAGCTAGTGACACTGCAAGGCAGCCGGGCTTCCTGACCAATCAGGAAGCTGGGCGGTGGGCTATGACCTGCCGCCTGGCTTCCTAATTGGTCAGGAAGCCAAGCTGCCTCGCAGTGTCGCGAGGGAGCGTGAAGCCAGCTTACAAGGCATTTAGGAAGCCGGCTTCCTAATTGGCCGGGAAGCCGGGACCACGCTACCTCTGGATGCTGATTTCGGTACTCATACTCGATACCGAAAATCCGGTATTGGTGCATCCCTATTTTAAGCTATTCTAACTTAAGGCAGAACTCCAGGTAAAAATTTGACTAAAGCATGCAGTGGAGTTACCCCCACACTGCAAGGGTTAAATGCTAATTTTTGTCTAAATTCAAAAATAATAAAGTTATACTCACCTCAGACCCTGCTTGCTCTTAGACCGATCCCTTCCGCTTTGCTCCCCCTCTGCTGCAGCGGTCTAAGCTCCCTGAGTCTGCACATTCTATACACAGCATATAGGATGTGAGGACGCTGAGGGACAATCCATCCTTGCAGTGGAGAAGACAGGCTGGAGAGAGTGCTGTTACAGCCGGCTGGCTCTGAGAATGTAACTATGTTATTTTTGAACCTAGCCAAAAGCAAGCAGTTAAACCCTTGCAGTGCAAGGGTTAAGAAAAATTGTACCTGGAGTTCTGCTTTAACATTTTGGGGGGAATTTATCAAAGCAATTGCGACAGTTTTAGCCTCTTAGATCATTTTTTTTTTAATGTGCAAATCTGTCTTTCAACATGTGCCCCTGTTGTGACCTGAGCTTGCACTACTTTTCCAACTGCACGTGTTTTGTACTTGTTTTCTTCAGAGCTTGCATTACTTTTCCAACTGCACGTGTTTTGCACCTGTTTTCTTCAGAGCTTGCATTACTTTTTCAGTTGCATGTTTTTTGCACCTTTGTTGCACGTGTTTCCATCTGCACTTGTTCTGGGCTGTCTGAAACTGGAGCATCACCTAAGAAAACAATCACAACTTAAGAAGTCCCCATGACCACTTCTTGAAGAAGCGACAGTTAAGCTTTTTGCCTGGAGTTTCAAGTCTTCTTTCCTGGAGTCTATTAAACCTCATTTATCAACATTCCACTAGCATCATAAATCTGGTGCAAATACACACTGAGTGGCCAGATTATTATGACCACCTGACGTTTGTAGGCAAATTAGCTATAATTTTGCGCTGAAGTTGCTAGAGGGCCAGACCATTATAAATAGGGAAGCAGGTTGTTTACCACGACAGTAGAAGTGATTTTTTTCCGGAAGATATGGGAAACAACGCGATTTAACAGTCTTTGAACGTGGGATGATTGTTGGCACTCGGAGCCATGGAGCGAGTATCAGCAAAAGAGCAGAAGTCGTTAAATGTTCAAGAGCAGCTGTTGTTAAAGTGTTTAAAGACTGGACTGTCAGCCGAAAATCTGGGTCTGAACGTGCCAATTGTGGCAGTCAGCGACTAGTCAATGTTAGGGCAGAACGGAGAGTGGCAAGACTGGTACAAGACAACAGAAGGGCAACAGTGCATCAAATGACTGCAGATCTTAATCAGGGATCCTCTCAAATGATCTCTGAACGGGATATGGAAGCCGAAGGCCTGTTGCAACACCTTTGCTGTCTGCAGTTAACAAGATAAAACATCTCCAATTCGCATGGGAACACAAGGATTGGACAGTCGAACATTGGAAAAAAGTCATGTGGTCCGATGAATCACGTTTCCAGTTGCATCATGCAGATGGCAGAGTGAGAATTTGGCAGGAACTGAATGAAAGCATGCACCTCACATGCATGTACAACCCTTCAAGCTGGTGGGGACAGTGTTATGGTTTGGGGCATATTTTCCTGGCATGATTCGGGCCCTTTAATTTGTGTGGAACAACGTCTGAATAGCACAACATACTAAAGTATCGTTGCTGATCAAGTTCATCCTATCGTGTTAATGGCGTATCCCAATGGAGATGGCTTCTTCCAACAAGACAATGCGCCACGCCACGGTGCTCGTATTATGCAGGAGTGGTTTCAAGAACATGAGGGAGACTTTACCTTGCTTAGGTGGCCCCCACAATCACCAGATCTCAATCAAATTGAGCATTTGTAGGACGAAGTTGAAAGAGCCACCAGGCAGCTGGTTCCACAACCATCAAATATCACAGAACTGGACAGTGCTATTCATCAGGCATGGCGCCAGATTCCTCGCATCACCTTTCAACATCTCCAATGCCAAGAAGAATCGCCGCAGTATTGAAGGCAAAAGTTGGCCCAACGAAGTACTGATGGGGTGGTCATAATAATCTGGCCACCTAGTGTATTCCGTGCAAGTTCAAACACTTGCAATTGCTATGATAAATTCCCCCTCTGTATTTTTTTTTGTTACAGATATATTCATTAGTTATAAATGCCTGAAAAATGAATTAACAGCAACTAAACCCAACAATAATGGTACCCCAATGGTAAGGTGTTAATACTTTACAGCCTTACTCTGCACATAACACCCAGCTTTTTAATACATGATTACATAAGTGCAGTGTGAAACTTAGGGATGTACTAATACCTCTTTTTCGGTATCGAGTACCGATATTGTGCTTTCAGTACTCGCCGATACAGAGTACAGATACCGGTGCTTCCGCTGGCATGGAGCCAGCTTCCCAGGCAATCAGGAGGGTAACGACATGCCGCCCGGCTTCCTTGTTGCCCGGGAAGCCAACACCATGTTGTTTGGCCGGCTTGATTGTAATTTTTTGGGGAAACCGGCTTCCCAGTCAATCAGCATTGAGGCGGTTTCCCGACCAATCAGGATGTTGGGACGCAGGTCATTACTTGCCGCTAGGGTTGCCACCTTTTCTTCAAGCGAAACCCGAACACACTAGCGACGCGCTGACATTTTTTGGAGAGAAAGAGTCACGGCTTATTCATATGTAAATAGCGCCTCACACTCGTATGTAAATATCACAGTTGAGCCTATTCTCAGTGGGGGGCCAGTAGCACCTATCTTAATTTTGGTTGCCCCTGTCTGCCCGACACCTTTATCCGGGTTTCTGCTGCCATGAAACCCGGACACAGCATTCAAAACCCGAACTGTCCAGGTGAATCCTGGACAGGTGGCAACCCTACTCGCCGCTCAACTTCATGCACGCATGGGAAGCTGGCTCCATGTTCCCCTATGGCACTGCCTGTCTGGGGAAATCTTCCTCTGACCCGGACGTTCCGGTATTGGAGCATTTGGGCGAGTACAAGTCCCTGCCCTAGACAAAAATGAGCAGTTAACCATTGCAGTGCCGGGGTTCATGTTTATTCTGCCTGGAGTTCGGCAGTCTATTACCACAGATCCATGACAGATGTGGGACAGTTGGCACTTGTAGGTAGTAGAGAGGGTTGGAGGGGCCCCATTACAATGATGCCATGTCTCTTCGTTACAGAACAGGCTTTTGTACTCTGACAGATTCCCATGGAAGCCATAAGAATGTCTGTGTACAGCTCGACTCGTCTCCCCCACCGGACTAGTCCCGGCATATCCCGCTGGCCGCTATGGAAAAACACGGCGCACATACTAGGCTGGCAGTGTTAGGAAGGGGGCGTGGCCCCGACTGTGTACTACACATCGCCATGACGTCGGTTGCCACGGAAACGCATTCCGCCCTGACCCCTTGCGCGTCCCCGTTTGTCTCCCTCCATCCGGGATCCTGGCTCGCCACACAGCGGGAGGAGCTGAGCGGCGCAGGGGGGTCCCCATGGCGGAGGATGCGGAGTGGGTGCTGGACAGTGTGCTGGCCTTCCTGAAGTGTCCGCTGTGGACAGAGCCCGTCACCGACTTCATAGAACAGAGATGCTCAGGTAGCGGGGGAGAGGAGGCGCAGGTCCCGCACTCAGCTCCCACAATGCACTGCAGGCCTCCCGCACATCATGGGGGAGGGGATGTAACAATCAATCAGTGCCTCTGTGTCCCGGAGATCGGCGGAGGGGTCCACTGTGTTTGTGAGGCCATGCTAGGCACTATGGGGAAGACTCTCATAGGAGACAGGCGGATAATTGCCGTCGTTTTATCCCAGTCCCCCTGTTTTCATATCCCTCATGCCGATCCTCAGGCTTCAGTGGTTCTTTTGGGTCAGTGAGTTGAAAAGTATTAAAGTGGGAGGAGCTGTGGCTGCTGACATGTTTCCAGATGTCTTCAGACTGGACATGAGGCACAGGATCTATTGCAGTGCAGGGTGGTCACTGATGTTGTGGGGAGCACCCTCTCACTTTTAGGACTGGGCTTGAAACATACCTAGGCTTGTTTTGATCATGTGCACATTGATGCAGGTGAATGCATGTTCGCATGGGTGTATCCTTTCATGTTCAAAAACTTGTAGGTCACATTCACACGCGGTGTAGTCATGTGTCTTGGTGCCACATGATGCCAGTCATTCTGAATGGCAGCCCATTGCATCTTGCAGATGGCTGTGCGTAGCAGTGCGGTGATACCTTACCCACTGAGACCAATACAACCAGCCACTGGTACCATCTCACCCAAAGTAGCCCCCCCATCCACTGAGACCATTACACCCAAAGTAGCCACCCATCCACTGGTACCATCACATCCAAAGTAGCCACCCATCCACTGGTACCATCACATCCGAAGTAGCCACCCATCCACTGGTACCATCACATCCAAAGTAGGCACCCATCCACTGGTACCATCACATGCAAAGTAGCCCCCCATCCACTGAGACCATCACACCCAAAGTAGGCACCCATCCACTGAGACCATCACACCCAAAGTAGGCACCCATCCACTGAGACCATCACACCCATTCACTGAGACCTTCACACCCAAAGTAGCCACACATGCACTGAGACCATCACACCCAAAGTAGGCACCCATGCACTGAGACCATCACACCCAAAGTAGCCACCCATGCACTGACTGAGACCATCACACCCAAAGTAGCCACCCATGCGCTGAGACCATCACACCCAAAGTAGCCACCCATGCACTGAGACCATCATACCCAAAGTAGCCACCCATGCGCTGAGACCATCACACCCAAAGTAGCCACCCATGCACTAAGACCATCACACCCAAAGTAGGCAGGGTGGTGGCATACTACAGTGCTCTTGTCTCAATTTTTATGGATACATTTATGTGTGATTGACTTAAAACAGGTCTGGACACATCTCAGGAGCCAGGTCTCCAATGCCCCTTACAAATTACATCTGGTGCCTAACGTTTAAGGTTTTTCTCTAGTTATCAACAGAGCTTGCTACTAAAATAAATCCTGCTGGCTCTGGGATTGGATAGACTTGCTCTTGAATTCCATATCAATTTCTCCACCCCTGACTTCAAATATCACTGAAAAGTAGATCTTATCAGTTTTTAATGTAAATTATATAATAATAAAAACAATTGATATGAATTGTGACACACATGCAGGCATTTGATTGAGCACAAGCGATTGACAGAACTCTGCCACAGACGATTGTCTTAGCAGAGTCTAAACTGATGGAATGGAGGATTGGTTTCATTTCGCTGTTTCCTCACATTGTGTGGTTGTATGGATACGTGTGTGGCCTTCTTTAGGTGTGATTCCAGCCTTAAAAGGATATCTGCACTTTTAGCAGGTCCCTCTACCCCCTAGCAGGTCCGCCAAGTCCTCCATTTACATCTGGATATTTCAGATAGGTGTACTTATTTCAGCTATCTACTGCAATATAGTTAATATAGATAACAAATCTAATACAACCTGCAACTACAAGTCTGAGGAAGACCCGCCTTTTGAGGTATGGTTGCTAATAAGAGAATACCTGTATGGTGTTTTTTTAATCTGCAAAACATGGACAGAAGGTTGCTATATTTTAGACTCTGCATTTGCAGATTGTGATAGTTGGATGTTCCGGCATAATTAGCTCTTTACCACAGTAATCTGTGACAATGACTTGGAGACATGTATTCTGTAGTCGCCCTTCTGTATTATATCTTATAATGTGGGTTGTTTTTTTTTTTTTTCCTGTTGCAGTTTTTGACGATGAAGAAGAAAATAAGTTGTCCTACACAGAGATCCACAATGAGTATAAAGAGCTGGTAAGCAAACTCTGTTGATAAAGTGGGCCGGTGGTACATACTAACAGAATCACATCTGAATATTGAGAACTGCTATGATTGGTGACGTCCAGTGTAACAGTCTGCAGGTAGTGTCGGGGGGAAATTTCAGGAGTAGTGGTGAGGTTGGGCTTGGTGCCCACTTTGGCCAAGTTTGCTCAAAACTGATCGCCACCCCCTCCTCCCTACCAAATCAGTTGGACGGAGGAGCATTCTCCACCCTGCAGCTGGACATCTCAAAGGGATAAAGAATGCCCCTGCTGCAACTTCCACCACTGATTGGTTTATGAGGAGGGGGTGGCAGTCACAGCTTTCACCAGGGTTGGGCGAACTGGGTTTGCACCAAGCCCAGTCTCATCTCTACTCAAGGTTATTTGAGAAACAGTTGGTTTTATTTAAAGATTATTATTATTTTTATATATATTTTTATATAGTGCCAACAGCTTGCGCAGTGCTTTACAATATACACTGAGTGGCCAGATTGTTATGACCACCTGAGTTTGTAGGCAAATTAGCTATAATTTTGCGCTGAAGTTGCTAGAGGGCCAGACCATTATAAATAGGGAAGCAGGTTGTTTACCACGACAGTTGAAGTGATTTTTTTCTGAAGATATGGGTAAACAACGCGATTTAACAGCCTTTAAACGTGGGATGATTGTTGGCGCTCGGAGCCATGGAGCGAGTATCAGCAAAACAGCAGAATTCGTTAAATGTTCAAGAGCAGCTGTTGTTAAAGTGTTTAAAGACCGGACTGTCAGCCGATAATCTTAGTCTGAACGTGCGAATTGTGGCATTCAGCGACTAGTCGATGTTAGGGCAGAACGGAGAGTGGCAAGACTGGTACAAGACAACAGAAGGGCAACAGTGCAGTGTCAGATTCCTCGCATCACCTTTCAACATGGCGGCCCAACAAAGTCATCCCGTGGCCCAACGAAGTACTGATGGGGTGGTCATAATAATCTGGCCACTCAGTGTAAAGATAAATGCAGAAAGTTCCATGTTGAAGCAGCTTCTATGTGTCAGAAGGTTCTTCGTATAATTTGTGGAGAAGCCACACTCACACTGAAGTAGCATCTACAGAAACTGCTCGATGTTGGACTTTTCATGTATCACACACCCTTCTTTACTTATTTTGTGATCCTGACTCCATCTGTAGAAGAAAGAATTCTATAGAATCATTTGGTTGTCCAATAAATGAGTCTTTTGAAATGTTGAGGAGCACATTCTGGTGTCCCCCATCTTGTAAGCATTTGGGGTCCATAGAATTACACCACTGGTATACCAGTTTGGTGTAAGAGGTGGATACATTGTAGGATGTCTATATATTGGAACTGTAAATATGTTTGATTTGATATGTTTTTATTTATATTGCCAACCTATGTATGGGGATCAATGAATAAGCACATGACATTCATCCACAGGTAGAAAAGTTGATACAAGGGCATGTGAATGAAATAGGGATTAACGAGGAGCAATTTCAAGAGGCATGTTCAGCACCTTTCGCTCATTCTCCTGAAGTTAAGGTGACTTTCTTTTCATTTATCATCATTATCCTGTTTGTAAACAGATGTACTGCTTTCCATTTGTATATCAGTTGTCCTTTTGTAATCAGCCTGCACCAAGCTGACAATTACTGTTCCCTATCTGGGAGGCTAAAAATACTCATAAATATTAGATAACGACATTGATTCAAATATTTCAGCTGTGGCCAGGAACCTGTATCCCCATGATAAGTACAGTGTTTGGCTGCCCATCCTTGTGGGATATGAAAGTGCATAGTGAATCCTGCTGCAAGACGGACTAGTGTCAGATCATATGCTAATGTCTATCTAAAAAAGATGATTGTTGGATAGTGGTAAGCAATCCAGTCACCCAACAATCTTTTCCCTCCAGGGAACATAGGCATGTACGCTGATATCATATATAGATGCCTTCACCGCAAACTGCAATAGGTTCATGTCCATTAAAAGACCTACCTGCCAGTTAATAAGATTTTTCCTTAAAAGAGATCTGCTGATGTCTGTTAGTGGCCCTTGAAGTCAAAATTCTCACCCAAGCCTTCCAGTTTTGTTGCTGAAGATCAACTAATATCTAAAGTTTCTACAATAAAAGGTAACACATCCTGTCTAAGAACAGACACCACAAGACGTTTGCTTTAGTGGCCTTTATTACCCAAAAGGCCTCCTCTGTGGGCCTCTCTGAAACTAGTTCATTTCAATTTAGAATTAAGCCCCAATCACTTGCCATCCTACCCCTTCTAACAAGAGTGCTTCCGGGGTAACGGGTGGTGAAGAGAAATCTCCAAACAGTGACATCTGTCAAAAGGGGCAATTTTGCTCACTTTGGAAGAGATTTTTTTTTCCTCACTTCTTTTTGGTGTTGTAAGGACAGAAGTGAGGGAAAATCTCCCCGACGGGGATGCAAATGCTAATAAAAACTGTGACTGAGGTTCTAAGCCTTCCTTATTCTATCCCAATCCAACCAATTAGTGACTGCAGCGCCTCTATTAAATCTAAAAAAAGAATATTGATTGTTCTAATGTATAGTCTGGCATTACATAAGATAAAATATCCGAAATGTTTATTTGAGAAATTGTGATGACCTTGCAGTTAAAAAGAATGAAAAGCATACAGTATGCACGCGTGCTTACATAGTGTGCCATAATTCCTTCCGGAAAGTCTTTGCCAGAGAGAGGATAATGTAGATTAGTTGATAATACAATTGTAATCTGTCCATTGACCTTACTTATGTTAATCCACAAGAAAGATGCTTTGTGACGTTATCTTTTGATATGCTATGAACAAGTACTGAGTGATATACTAGAGACAACATTAATTACATTAATATTAACTACTCAAGTACCAGCATTTGTAACACCCTAATATCTATACCCACTATAATGGTTTACACTGGACCTATTCAAATTCACATAAACCAATACAGCATATGCCACCATAACAAACACATTTATATTTTGAGTGATATAGTCTATTTCTTTGTAATACTTAGGAAGTTTTAACCTTCGTCTTATGGGGTGCCTACAGGAGGATTGTACAGTGGCAAACAAAAAAAAAGCTGTAGGCCAGCCCAAAAAAAACCCCTCCCACTACCAGCATGTCTGTGGGCATCTTCAGCTGTGTTATGAAAAAGACCAACCTATTTTTTTTCTAGCATCTTCTTTCTTCAACATTTATCTATTCAATGAAGTAACCTTCAAAAAGAACTCCAGGATTTTTTTTTATAAACCCTTGCAGTGGGACTACCCCGAAGCTCTGAGCCGGCTTGTTTTTAGACTAGTCCCTAGAGCCTTTCTCCCCCTCCTCTGCAGCTGTCTAATGTCCCAAAAAACATCACATCTATACACAGTGCAAATAAATGAGGAAGATTCCAATGTGGTGGCAAGGAGGAGACAGGCTGGAGGGAGCACTGTGACAGCCGGCCGACTTGGAGCTTTGGGTGAGTATAACTCACCTAGACAAAAACATGCACTGAACCCGTGCAGTGCAGGGGTAGAGCTATTGCAAGGGTTAAGAAAGTTTTCCTGGAGTTCTTCAAGGTAGAGCTGCAGCTAACGATTATTTTCAAAATCGATTAGTTAGCCGATTATTAAGTTCGATTAATCGGTTAATTGGATAAAAAGTAAAATAAAATACATTTTAAAAAATGGCTCCAGTGATGGACTACTAGTTTGTATTGAGATTGTAGTCCAGCACAGGAGCAAGCTTGGAGCGGTGGAAGTAAAAAAGAAAAAAAAAAAGTGTGGTGTGCAATATAGTGAAATGGAAAGTGTAAAATTATACAGCAATCAATGCAGAATGGCACCAGCTATAGAGGAATACAACAAATCCCAGCAATAGTACATTATAGCTGGCGGTATTCTGCATTGTGCTGTATAATGTACTATTGCTGGGATTTTTTGTATTCCTCTATAGCTGGTGGTATTCCACATTGCGCTGTATAATGTACTATTGCTGGGTCCTCTATATCTAGTGGTATTCGGCATTGCACCACTGTATAATGTATTATTGCTGGGATTTGTAGTCCTCTATACAGCGCAATGCAGAATACCACAAGCTATATAGGAATACAACAAATCCCATCAATAGTACATTATTACTGGCTTTACCATCCTGCTTCATGGTTGCTGGCTTTACCATCTTGCTTCATGGTTGCTGGCTTTAAAAGCATGGCTGTCCATGTTTTGAGAGCCATAGGGCATCTCTGAATCCTGCTAAAAGCTAGGAAATCTACTTCCCATAAGGTCTGTCATGGGGTGTAAAAGTCATGCTTGGTGTGAGACTTGGGGCATCCACTCTAAGAATTTCTCCATGTGATGAATCTTCTCCTTCCTGCAGCTGGGCCTGGACTCTCAGCACTGTCGAAAGCTAGGTTTAGCCCTTTCGATTCTGTTTCAGAGACTGTTGGCCTCTCAGTCCCCTCATGTAGCTCCCCCTGTTCATTCCCAATTGAATGTGCTTCAAGGTAATTTTCCTTCTAGCCATCACCTCTGTGTCAGAACTGGCATCCTTATTCTGAAAGGGATTCTTTCTAGCTTTGCATAGGAACAAAATGGTGTTAGGGCCCGGGACTTTCTGCTAGATTTGGACTTTTGCCTCAACCAGGACATCATTCTTTCATCCCTCTGTCTGGCTCCAGTTCACCAAAATTACATTTCACTCCATTGTCTGGATGTGGTTCGGACTATGAGAGTGGTTTCTCAGCCCATGCTTCCTGATCCCCTTTTTGTTATTCCAGATGGTCCCCATAAGTGTAGGTCTGCTTCTTGTTCCACCTTCTCTAGGTTTCTCAGATTTGCAGGGCTGCTCCTTGGAGGCTTCTCTTCACTGCAATCAGTAGGGGTCTACCGATATCAGGCCCACTGCCTGCTGTTTACATTCAGCTGCCAGCGCAAGATCCTGCAGCTGAATGTAAACAGAATATCGGTACCTGATATTGGTTATGGGACCAAAAGGTGGCCCAAAATCAGTATTGGTTCTAAAAAAAACAAACCCATATTGGTCGACCCCTAATTGCAGATTGCCGAGCCTATTGTTAATATCAGATTATTATTATTATTATTATTATTATCATACAGGATTTATATAGCGCCAATAGTTTGCACAGCGCTTTACAATATAAGAAAGACATTACAGTCACAATACAATTCAAGACAAGATGGTAAGGAGGGCCATGCCTGTGAGGGCTTACAATCTAAAAGGGAGGGGGAAGTGATTTGTATCTAATTAGGTAGGCACTCGTACTACAGAGTTGGTTAGATCTAAAGAAAGTTGTTCAGTTAGATTGCAGTGTGAGTGGCTGGCTGAACCTGCAGAGATTAGAGGATCAGCAAGGCACAAAGGATGGAGAGATTGAATTTAATGATGAAATATAATCTACCAATAGGTTTTTAATATGTTGGCATGCACTGATAGGATTGTTAACATTAGAATAATGTTTAATAACTTTTATACTAATATCAAAGAGTATTTTGGATTTTCTGTTTTAAGGACAGAAACGGATATCAGGATTGTTAGTAATTCTTTTGTTGGTAACAGAATAAATACTTACCCTAGTTGATGTCATGCAAAGGCAGTGATTGGCTATCACTGTACTTTAAGGCAAGGAGCCATATACAGTATATGTTTCATATCTGCTTACTCATGATCAGCAATGTACAGTGAAAGCACAACCAGAGGAAAAGATGTGCACATGGAAGAGCACCTATCTGAGAATTTCTTTCACTTAAAGGAGCTTGGAAACTCAGTAGATTGTCTAGGACCTTAAAACCAGAGACGAGAGCATTCTTATCGTACCAAGTGATGTTTTGCTATAAGCTTCTACCTTTTGTTTTAACTTCTAGAATATGTTGCAAGCTGTGTTAGCTGTAGAAGATTTTGTAACATTTAAAGAAATGATGGTGCAGAAGAATATCGAACTACAGTTACAAGCAATTCAAATTATTCAGACAAGAAACGGTAATGTTATGTTTTATTTCCTGCAGTTATATAATCAGATTTTTTTATGATAACTAGCCTTTGTATTTGAATATATCTTTATCAGGCCTTGCACTGCAGAGGAAGTGCTTACAGAGCTTATGTTCTGACAGTTAATGTACCAACAGGAGGAGAAAGGGTAATGAGCAGAAGGATGACCTAATTGCTGTGCTGCTACTGGAGTGGAGGTTTTGAATCTTGCTGTGCTGTATGACAGATTTGCCTAGATGTCAACACTGGCTGTAGAGAATTATAAATCCTTTGGCAAGTAAAACAGTTTGAATATAAACCTGGACAAATTTGTTAGTACCCTTCCATGAAAAAGAACAACCTACTTTTTTCTCTGCAGTAACTTGAAAGTAATTGGCATCCATAATTGTTTATTCAGTATTTAATAAAAAACATACTTTTGCTTTAGATTTTTTTTTTAAATCAGATAGTTTTTATTGGTTTTGCATATATTTAAAGTACAGTAGGTATACATTAAAAAAAAGAGAAACCAAGGAGCATATTAACAAACAAATATAGAACAAAAAAAAAAAGGGGGGAAAAAGAAATAAAAAGGGGGAGGGAGGGGAGGGAAGCATAATGTCATACGCATATCAAAATTCGACAAAAATAGGCTATCTGCTGGTGCGAGTGTATTTTGAACATATACTATAGCTAGCCCAACATGAAAAAAAAATTACATATAGAACACTGTGTAAAGAGCCAACACCTTACTCTGCGAATGTGTGCAAGCTGGCTAATCAGAGATGTCCTGACCACGGTACGTCAGCCAGCAGTCCCAGAGAGAGTGGAACCGATGCAGGGTACCCCTCTGTTTGAAAGTGACCCTCTCGTATGCTACCATCCTGTCAAGTTCCACTATCCATGAGTTCAATGTAGGGGGGGAGGGGGAGATCCACTTACGGACCACCATCCTGGTTGCGGTAAATAGGGCCCGTTTGTATAGTAGTGTGATGTGTAAGATCGGCAGATTCCACAATGCCCAGGATACACGATAATGGGGAGTTTGTCACTGAGGATGTAAATACAAGGTTAAGGGTATCCACAATCTGATCCCAATACCGAACCAGCCTAGGGCATATCCAAAGCAGGTGGATCAGGGAACCACGATGAAAACCACACTTGGGGCATTTGGAGTCTGCTCTAAGCCCGATACGGAACAAGAACTCAGGAGTGGGATACGTTCTGTGAAGTATGAACAGTTGTGTCAGTCTTTGGGTGGGAAATATGGAGACCTGGGTAACCCCCTGGAGAACGTCCTCCCAGGCATCATCCTCTATGGGCCCCACATCCCCCTCCCATCCCCCTCTGCACTTCAAAGGGAGAAGGACACTGGACTTAAGCAGAAGGTGAGCATATAGAAAGGAGATAATCCCCTTAGTGGAGGTCGCCAATAATACAATATCAAATAACGGAGTGGGAGATAGAACTGGTGGGCCCTGACTAAACTGGGATTTCAAGGCATGAGTAATCTGGAGGAACTGGAAGTAGCACCTACTGGGGACTCCATACATTTCAGTCAATTCCTTAGGCCTTGTTCACACCAAATGCAGACCAGATCCGGTCAAGTTTCTGCACACGCAGTGCAGTGGGTTGTGCCGCGTTTTAGACGCGTTTTGGATGCGTTTAGGGCCGGTTTTGGTAAAACTTGCATGCGTTTTTGATGCGTTTTTGCGTTTTAGATGCGCTTTTGATGCGTTCCAGACCAGATCCAGAGCAGGTAAAATAGGGCTTGCCGCAGTTTTTTCATCCGGTCTGGATCTGGTCTGGATCCGCACGCTGCGATGTGAACTGGAGGTCAAAATACCATAGGAATACATTGGACGCAGTTTTGATCCGGTCTGCACCTGCTCTGGTCCGGATCTGCTCCGCGCTTGGTGTGAACAAGGCCTTAAAGTCCCGCAGTCTGCCCTCCCTATTCAAGTGGGAAATAGTTAACACCCCTTTGCTGTCCAGTCAACGGTGCCCTGGAGATGGAGGAGCTCCGGTAGGCGTCCATTCCGCCACAGCGGTGTGTGTCGGGTCAGGGCACCGATGCCCAGTTCTAGTTTAGCCGCAGCCCAGTAAGTTTTACCGTATAGATCACTATCCAAATACTGCAAAGGGCTTAGCCCCTGAATAGGTGGAGAAGGATACGGAAGGACTGCGGTTGATGATCTCCAGCTGCCCAGCCTGTAAAATGTTGCAGCTATGAGGCTAGAAAAAAAAACATGGGCAGGGGAGGGCAAGCCCCCCCGAGGCTTTCGGCCGCTGTAGTACATCAAGTCCCAGCCTAGAGGGTTTCAGTTTCCATATCAGTTCCCTAAAGATGCTATCGATTAACCGGAATGTTTTTTTAGGGATCCAGAGAGGGGAGTTATGAAGCACATAGAGTAATTGAGGCATCCAGACCATCTTAAACAAATTTGTCCTACCGGCCACCGACAGTGGTAATTTGACCCAGGAGTTGCGCTGAGTCTTAAATCACCCCAAAAGAGTGTGTAAGTTCAGAGTGAGATAGTCGCTCGGGGAAGCAGATATTTGTATTCCTAGGTATGTAATGGTAGATTGTACATGTAGGTGCGCCATAGTGGTATCCAGTGGTGCACTCAGTGGATCTAACGGGAGAAGGTTAGATTTCTCCCAGTTAACAACCAGGCCTGAGTAGGTAGCAAATTCCGACAGTAGGGACATAACACTGGTCAGGGAGGACACCGTGCCCGCCAGGAACAACAAGGCGTCGTCTTCATATAGGACTATCTTTTCCTCTAGCGCGCCCCGTTTGAAGCCTATCACATCCACCGAGTGTCTGATCAGGGCAGCAAGAGGCTCAATAGCCAGGGCAAATAGTAAGGGCGACAGAGGGCACCCCTGCCTGGTGCCCCTCTGTAAAGTAAAGGCAGAGGACAGGGAGTCATTAACCTTGATCTTTGCAGAGGGGTGGTGATTTAGCAACCTCACCCATCTGCAATAATTAGGACCAAAGCCGAAGGCGTCCATCACTGCCCACAGCGCCACTCCACACTGTCGAACGCCTTTGCTATGTCAAGGGCGAGTAGCTCCCTGTGGCTCATATTATCGGCAGGAACTTGCATGTTCAGAAACACTCTACGGATGTTAATGGCGGTGGATTTGTTGGGCATAAAGCCGGATTGGTCTGGATGTGTTACTGACGCAATTTTCTGTGACAGCCGCATTGCAAGCACTTTGGCCAATATCTTAATATTGGCATTCAGTAAGGAAATAGGTCTATATGATTCCGGCAACAGCAGGTTCTTATTCTTTTTGGGGATCACCACTATTGTAGCCTCATACATCGTGTTTGGTAGTGAGCCAGTGGAAAAGGCATCATTATACGCCTCTAGGAGAGTAGTAGTGTAAGTTTTATATACCTCAATAGGGAGCCCGTCCGGACCAGGCACCTTACCACTGGGGAAGTTAGCCAGCGCCACTTCCAGCGCCTCCAGAGTAAGTGGGGCCTCGAGGTCCATGCTGTCAGCAGGTGACAGGGATGGAAGGGGAACGGTTTTGCAGGTAGGACGAAAGCTCGAAGTCAGAATAACTAGCCTTAGTTTGATACAGGGGTGTGTAAAACGTTCGGAAGATTTCGGACACCATACCCTGGCTCGAATGGGTATCCCCCATAGTGTCAGAAATAGCGCCGATATGGCTAGAGGGTTGTTGGGCTCTGGCTACTTGCGCCAGGAGTTTACCTGTCGTGTCCCCCCTCCGCCCAGAAGACCCGCTTGGTGAAAAATGATTCCCTTATTCTGGGACTGCTCCTCCAACAGGGTATTTAGAGAGCCTTGTGCAGTCAGCCACTCTGTCTCTGTGCATGTCGTAGGGTTGGCCACATAGGTCCTCTCACTATCAGCAACCAGTTGGCAGGCCAAAGTCAGGTCCTGCCTAGTCTTGGACTTAATAGCACTAACCTTCTTACCCTGACCCTGCTGGATTGGACATTGCAAGGAATGCCTGAAAGTGGCATTTGGGCTCTGGGTCCTGCGTAGGGCACCTTTCAGACTTGAGGATGCATATTTACACATTTCCATTTTTTTTTGCCCTGTGCCGCTGTGGGCACACAGCATTTGCACTTTGTTGCTCTTCTCTTTTGGTCAGCCCACTGCACCCTGGGTTTTCACCAAGGTGCTAGCCCTTGGTTGGTCATGATGCAGTCCCAGGGTGATCCCCTTTGTGGGGTACTTCGATGACCTCCTCAGGGAGCAGTGGGCACAAGCCCTGTCATCCAACATTTAGTGAACAATACATATCCTGCAGAGCTTCAGATGGATCCTGATCCTCTAGAAATCATTGGTGGAGCCTTCTCATTATTTGGAGAACCTGGGCCTAGTCTTGGACATGACCCTGTCCAGGGTCGTACTGAGAAACTTCTCTCCACTCTCGCACTAGTACCCTATGGTTCAGGAGTCGTCCTACCCTTTGCTTTTGCATGAAGGTTCTGGGCCTGATGGTGGCCTCCTTTCAGGCAGTCCACTATGCTCCATTTCACTCCAGGCCATTGCAGCTCAATATCCTAAGCGGGACAAACAGGTTTGGTTCCTTGATCCCCCCCATCTGATGGTCCAGCAAGACAATCTTGCCCTGGAGAGGTGGATATCCAGCTGAGCACTGGAGTCTGGGAGTTTCTTACTTCCAATGTCATGTATACCAGCTTGTTGGGCTGGGACAGAGTCCTGGAGAGCCGCTCACTTCAGGGGACCAAACGGTTGGACCAAATTCTGGCTTGGGCAGAATTTCCCGTTCCAGTCCTGTCTGCCATGCACTTTTCAGGTGTGGAAAATTAACAGGTGGACACCCTCAGCCATCTGGAACCCAGGGAATGTTCCTGGTGGTGCTTCAGGCCCTTTGTTGCAGGCGGGGAATGCTGGAACTCCTGGCATCCAGAACCAACTGAACAGGTTTCTTGTCAGGAACAGAAATCCCCAAGCCTTTGTGGTTCATGCCTTGGTTACTCCGTGAAATCAGTTCAGCCTGATCTATGCCTTCCCTCTACTTACGCCCTTGGTTTGCAGGATTAGATGGAGGGCAGTCTGGTGCTCCTCGTTACTCCTGACTGGCCCAGGAGGCCCTGGTACGTGGACATAGTTAACCTCCCGACACAGAGAGTCAAACTCCTCTCCGTGGGCGCTTCCAGATTGTCCAGACATTCTGTCACAAGTATTCCACCCTGCTTCTCGATCGCTGCTTTCAATGGCACGGCTGTTAAAGCAGAGGTCCTAAGGGACAGAGGCTTTTCAGATGCTGTCATCTCTATGCTCCTTAAGGCTAGGAAATTAACCTCCTACAAGGTCTGTCATCACACCTTGAAGGCCTAATTTGCTTGGTGCAGAGATAGGAAGTTTCATCCTAGGAAGTACTGCATGGGAAGCATGTTATTCTTCTTTCAGTCTGGCTTGGACAAGTGTTTAGCCTTGGGTGCCATCAATGGTCAGATTTCTGCCTTGGCAATTCTATTCCAGACACTACTTACCTCGCACTCCTTAAGAAAGGCCTATGTGCAGGGGTTAACCCATGTTGTTTCCCCTGTGTGTGTTTTGGCAACTCTGTGGGACGTCAATCTAGATTTGTCGGCCCTTTAGAAGCCACAGTTTGAACTACTTTGTACGCAAGGGTGCTGTTGTTTCTTGTTCCAACTTCTCTAGGTGGCTCAAGCAGACCACCAGCTTCTCTGTTGTTTTCTTGTACCTGTAAGCATTCTTTTGCTGTGTTGGCAACCCCCAGCTTTTAGATGTTTTGCTATAAAATGAACATGCTGGCAGTAGGGTTTACCCAGGGCTGGCCTGCTGGTGTCTAATCCTGCTACAGTTGTATTCCAGAATCCTGCTGCACTCCTTACCGGGTATCCCTGTCAGCGTGGGTGCTCGAAGTGACGGCGGATGGCGCCGCCAATACTGAAACTTGTTAAAGATGTCACCAACACACCATATTGAAGTGAAGAACATGTCTGTTTATTGACGCTTCATGTCAAAACAAATAGCAATGTTTCAGGGCCACACAGGGTCCCCTTCATCAGGCTTGAAAAAAAAGTAATCCTGCTACAGGTTTTTGTTTTTCACCAACTTTACAGCTAATTCTGCACTTTTTTAGCCTTTTCTATTGCTGCCAATAGGCTTCTTAAAGTCCATTTCTACTTTAATGTGCGTGCATGTGTGCGCATAAAAGGTGTGTGCGTTTATAGTGGTGTAACTGACCTGTTTGTAGATGGTGGCCCCACTCTTCACTTTTTTGGTGGGCCCGGTGATTCCACATTTGAACATGCCGCCAATGGATTTACATTCCATTGCAGAGGTTGCGCTGTAATCTAATGGCAAATTTTACTGATTTAGTGTCATTTTAACCATCTTTAACTTCATTTCTGTCTGATCCTACTATTCTGAATAATGTCGAGGGGCATTCCAAAACAGGGGCCCAGGGGTTTTTCTGAAGTAGGAGTATCAGAAAGAAGTGTTCCGCAAAGCCTTCTGGGGAATGTAGTTTATATTAACTACATTACAGTTCAGATGCTGTGCTCTGCCCAGTGAGCTTCCTATACAAAAGACGCTTGGAAATTCTGAATCTACTGAAGAGGAACAAAGGAGGATGAGCTTACAATAGTTTAAAAAAATGCTATGTACTGTGTACTTTGCAGACATTTTTTTTTAAATACACCCACACGGGTGGTTTTAAAATAAACCTGACACAATCGGTGACGAGTTTATATAAGTACAAATGTAAATATTGGGCTCTGTCAGGTGCCAGTTGTTGAGCACATACCCACCTTCACTTAGCTTTACTCCCTTGCCAGCAATAAAAACTTAAAACTAAAAACAAAACAAACAGTTTGTGCTTTAACTATTGTTTAAATGTTTTTAGACAGTGATTGCATTAACAAAACAGCAAACCTGTGCAGTATATAGACTGCAATCCTTTACTTGTTTGGAGGTTTCAAGTAACACTACTTTTTGTATTTTACATGATTTTATTTCTTTATACATTTTCAAAATGCTTGTTTACATTTTTGTTACATGATTACTTAAAGTAGACTTTTACCACCTTTTACTAAAAATCACATCAGCATGCAGCTCTGCAGGCCGATTTAAAATCATCTTACGTCCATTAGTTAAACTTGTTTTTCATTTACCTACAAATAGAGTTAATCTACTTCCTGGTCCAGTTCTGGCACAAATGATGAAATCATGCCAGAGCATTGCTTCCTGGGAAAGTTACATCAGCAGAGCATTGCTGGGAAATGTCATTTGTAATCTCAGGGAAAGGCATTTTCCTTCCCTGAGATGATGTGCATGGTCACATGTCTAGTGACATGTGACAGAGTTGAAGTAGGTAAATGGAGATCTAGTAATCTACCCTTAGTTAACATGGCCAAGGTCAAAAGACATTGAAAAGAGAAATAAGATATGCAAAGAATATAAAGCCGGCAATTATCTAGAAGTATGTGTTTGTAGATTGTCATTCCTAAACATTTCTAAAGGTGTGTTTTAAAGATATGGGTAAAAGTCCGCTTTAAAGTGACAAACTGTGTAAAGCAGTTAAATCTTAAAAATACATTCAAGTATCTTAACTATTAAGGAGAACTATGAGGTGAGTGCTTTTCACTTACCTCATAGTTCTAGCCGACCTGTGACAATGAGACTGTCACAGGTCGGCTTAGTAGATCGGGAGGTGAGGGAACACATACCGGCGTTTGCTCACCTCTCGATCCTGTCACAGCTCTCTGCCGTGACAGGGGAGGGGCTGGATTCCCCCCTCCGCGCTCCGATCCACCAGCGCTGACTGGCGGAACGGACGGGGGAGGGTACAGCTGGCTCTGCCTCTAGATAGGCAGAGCCAGCTGTCACTCACGCAGCTGGGTGGATCCAGACATAATTGTCGGGATCAGCTTCAGCTGCGGTGTCTCAGTATACTGAGCTTAGCGTGACGGGAGGACGCTAGTTTGTCCTCCCGTTACCCTAAGGAGAACTATGGGGAAAAGCCCTGACCCCATAGTTCTTCTTTAAAGAAATGTCTCTCATGACATTTCAATAAAGTTCTAACAAAAAATATACAGTGTGATGCGCCGGGAACAGTGTGCCTGGGAACACAACACCAGCAGCTGTGCATTGTAGTGCAGTAGCTGGTGTGAATGCAGCCTAAATGGTGGACCACGCTACACACACAGACTGAGTGACTGTTCTGTCTGGACCCGTGATTCAGACCTCAGCTTGAAAGAAATTTTACTCACTGGACCTGTAGCTCGCGGTATACTGTGGCGTCTCAGTATACCGCGAGCCGTAACTCGTGGTATACTGAGCTTAGGGTGACGTGAGGACGCTAGTTTGTGTCCTCCCGTTACCCTAAGGAGAACTATGGGGAAAAGCCTTAACCCCATAGTTCTCCTTTTAACAAAAATGTATCTTATTTGCGCATCACTGGGCTGTAGATCTTGAAATTGTCCCAGAATTCATGTTGACACTGTCCTTCCTTCTGGAGCGGTGGCTACTTTACAACACACACAGGGACCATGGGGAACAGAAGTAGCCACCCTCCAGAAGGAAGGACAGTGTCAACACAAATTCTGGGACAGATTCAGGATCTACAGCTGAGCAATACACAAATAAGATACATTTTTGTCAATAGTTAAGGTACTTGAATGTATTTTAAGATTTAACTCCTGAGTTAAGTGTCACTTTAAGTCTCATTTCTGATCTCTTGAGTGTTTTGCTCTCTTTTTCATGCAGGCGTGCTTCCAGAATGTTTGCAGAATGGTACAGATAATATTTCTGACCTTGAGCAAGAAGAAATGAGACTGCTTACTGAAGCATTAAGGTAAATAGTTATTTAAATCTGTGTGGTGAGCCAGGAAGCAAAGTGAGTGGCGAATGGTATAGGGCTGCAACCAACTAATCGATAATGAGAATAGTTGACAACTATTCTCATTATCGATTAGTTGGTTGGATTCCCTAGCTCTCTCCTCCATGCTGGGAGGAGGGCACAGCAAGCAGTGGGCGGGTGCAATAGCCAGCCTGCTATTGTAATTTGAAATGGCCAATAGCCTGACAAATTCTTCTGCGGGAGGTGCGTCGCATTGCCACTCATTTCAATGGCACCCCAAATGCGCCTCCCACCCACAGTGTGATCGCACGCACTAGAACACAAGGTATCGCAATGCCTTGCGTTGCAGTGCAGTGCGATTCCAAAAAATTGTACTTGCAGTTTTATTCTGAAGTAACTCAGAGTTTTTATTTTAAATTAAGGATGGTAATTATTTAGTTTTTTTTAAACCAGATTAATCGAAAAAACAATTGGCCAACTATGGACTAATGTCTTTATTCAACCTCAAATACTATGTAACTATGTAACTAATCCATTTATGAAAATAATTAGTTTCAGCCCTAGAGTGGTACACCCACGCTCTACAAATGGCCCTGCCTGGTACAATTAATATTGTGTTTCAGAAATTTTAAGGCATTTTCCTTTTGATTGACGTTCATTTGACAGAACACACAGGCGTATGTATGTATGTATTTATGTATGTATGTATGTATTAGGGATGCACCGATACTGGTATCGGTATCGGTACCGAGTATTTTGGGTGAGTACTCGTACTCGCCCAAATGCTCCGATGCCTAGCACGAGTACTTCCTTTATCAGGAAGCCGGCAGCGCATCATTACACGCTGCCCGGTTTCCTGATTGGCCAGGAAATGGCTCCATGCTCTCTCGTCACTTGTGATGAGAGAGCATGGAGCCGA